GTCGTAATCAGTTAGTTAAGCGTCCGATTCTTTACCGAAGAGATAAGACAGGATGACGTTTAAAAGGTTTGAACGTTTTACGTTGGTTTAAAACGGGATTTAGATTAACACAGATTCTTTAAAGGAAATCGTTGACACTATATAGGCTTTCCGCTGCCTGGATTGTTGCCTGAATTGCTCCTTGCAATAAAGTTGCCGGTTGTCTCCGTATTTTGTTCTCGGGTGTAATAAAGAGAATTCGTATCGTGTGAATGTGTTAAATAAACGGGATCCTAATTCTGTTAACTGTAAATCATCTCAGTTTTGTGTCGACAGAGTGCCAATGGCAGGGTTTTGTACGTTTGGTATTCTGCTCAACTGTTCAACTGCCATTGCAATTTTTTGGTATTCTGTTCCTAACTGACGCGTCGATGGCATGTCAATAACGTAATCTACTAATTACTCGACATAGACAAAATATATTTAATTTGAAATCAAAATTACTGTTTAAACGAGATAAAAATTTTAAGATATGCATGTTTCTATGGTAGTTTTTTAGTCAAGCAACTTCGATTGTCTGTGATTGAATGAACTGCCATTCCACTGATACTCAACTACCGCTGCAATCAGATTTTAACAGAATAACAAGTATTATCGGAATTCTATATAATCTCAGAGCAGGCTCAACGGAATTACAAGGATCATTGGTTTCAAAAAAATTAGCAAAATTGGGACCCTGTGCTGTTGCCTATTTTTCAAACGGAAATTCGTTTTGTTATGTAGCTGAGCAACGAATCTCATTTGAAAAGTTAGTAATAAGAATAACTAAGAATGGATTTCGATTAAAAGTACTGTCATGGTACATATAAATAATTACCTACCCTCTTTGTGTTGAAGTAAAAATAACCTCAATAATCTAGTTCATTTGAATTTAGTAGCAGAAGAGTACCTTGTGAAAGAAATAGTTCGTCCAGGGAAGTATTGCCACCTTACTTATTTCTGCCACCAAGCAGTAATGTTAGTTAGCATTACTGCTTTCCGGTTTTGAAGGTGAAATTACAGGCACATGGGACTTGTCACCTAATGCCTCAGGGTGACGGGCGCAGTGCCCCTCGGAACTTTGCCATTTTTGAAGCTCTGAGTGGCATTGCAACTGTTATGGACAGGCGTGTAGCTTACCATCAGGCGTACGACTTGTTCGTCCCGTCACTTGATATTATAAAAAAAAAGATTTTAATCTACTTTACCGCTAAGTTTTGGACGACGAAAATTCGTGCTTGTGACCCTTTTAGCTCTTGCAGGTAGTCTCAATCTACGATAAATGTGTACAAATGTTTATTTACAATTAGCAACCCCTAGAGTTTCTTGCTCATTCTTCTCAAGGGAATCTGCCTTACGAACGAGAGTTTAATCAACATGACGATTTCAAATGTAATTTGCTTACCTATGAATAAAAAATTCTTTGACTTTAAATTGTTCTGTTATTTCTAAGTCCAACCAAAAAGATCCACTGAGCTTTCAAGAGCAAAAATGCAGTTCACTGTATTTATTCTCGACGGAACGTTGGTTCCCCACAGAAACACAGCAGCCTTTTTTCACAGTTTTGCACATTTGTATCTGAATATTCTTTTTTGTTATTTTTCTTCTTTGCATTTCTGTTCATCTGCGCGTGCAAAATTATACAATTGAATATTTTTCGCATAGACATAACGTGAACTTTGACCACAATTACAGATCAATATTAAAAATTCGGGGTTCGTCTAGACCTGTAGAGAATTGTATTTTTATGCTAATTCAAATTTCATGCTGTTGAGGAATGACTGAGTAATTCTGTTCGTCGAATGTGCGATTTGACTATGCAAAGAAAGCTTCCCTCGCTTCACTCGCAGAGTTTGGAAAAAAGTATTTTTAAATTTAATTATAAAATTTTAATCATAAAAGACGATATTGTTGGCCCAACGGTTTATACGGTGGGTGCTGGACGAGGAGGTCCCGGGTTCAATTCCCGGTATGACCTGATTGGGAAATTAATTTTACTAAATTGTTTCTGTCTGTGTGTTCTGGGAAGTGCCCCAGAGTGAATTCGCTCTGGTATTCGCTCGTGAAGTTGCTCTGGTACTAATAGTATAGGGAATTCCTTAGTTTGAGACCAGGCAATTGATGTGGTCGTATGGTACATTGTTGCATTATTATTATTATGGTATACGACATAACTTCACTTCGTAACCACGTACATTAAAAGTCGGTTTTCTATTTTCCCGATACCGATTTAAAAAAGAAGTTGTTAACAGTGTATGAATATTTTTCTGATATAGATTCCTATCATAGTACTATTTTCGTAGTGTTATAACAATATCGTAAACAGTGTAGTACTGGTAGTAATGCCACCTAACCTATTTTTGTCGCCAAGCAGTAATAACAACATTACTGTGTTCCTAATTGGAGGGTAAGAGTGCTGGTGAAATTTACAGGCACATGGGACTTGTCAACATATGTCTCATGGTGACGGGCGCATTGGCAGTACCCCTCAGATCTTTGCGATTTAAAGCTCTGAGTGACACTGCAACTGTTATGGACAGACATATAGCTTACCATGAGGCGCACGACTTGTTCGTCCCGTTACTTAATATTATAAAAAAAGAACAACAACTTTTGTTCCATGAGTTCCTACAAAACATAATAAATTTATCTAAACTAACTTTTAAGTTTTTTTGTACTAACACTTTTTAGATTTGCATTTGATAGTAAATTCTAAGCAAGCTTTTAGTTCTAAGTCCCCTGCCCCCGTACTGTCATCGGTATTAATATAATACATATAATAGTCTATCGTTGCTACATTAATCGCTCCGTATACCTTTGTTAAACTGTTATAATAAATACTTCACTAATTAAACGCAAGCTAATACGAACTACAATGTTTCGTGGTTTTGTTTAAAAATCTAATTCTTCATTTTACTACTTGTACCTATACTGGAGCAGAGCGTGGAACACAGGGATTGGAGAGGTAATCGTAGTTAGTCATCTGAACGCGTCTAAAATTGAACACAAAATGCATGCAGATAAAATATAATTTGCAATGTGTTTTTTTCGTTACCTTTTTAGCGGCATTGAAACCTTTTACCGGTATATTGTAAATTTTGCCTTATCTGTATGCTATTTGTGTTCAGTTTTGCGCTGAAATTTCTGCGGTTACCTCCTTTGACGCCTGGTTGGAAATATCTCCTCTCCTTGGTAACTCAATCAAACCTAATCTCACTTTCCAACTCACCACCCCAACACGCATAAGTGAAAATAGTGTTTAAATTAATGCAACTTAAACACTGGGGCGTGCGTGCGTGTGTTCCCCAGAGAGGAAAAATTGAACGGACTCTATCGGAGGGATTTGATTAAATTCACACCCCTTATGTGACAGTAATTGATAGAGACGCCGAGCCCTTTGGCGTTAACTTGTGAGTTCTTTATTGTTGTGTATGTGGAAACTCCTTCGTGATTTGCTCTTTTTTTCTTTTGAGTAATGTGGGAAACCTAAAGACCGTAAGCATCGTGCTCAACTCAGGAGCGTAGCCATATAAAGAGGGAACGCATCCAGTCAGGTACTCGTTTGAGTGGGAACATTCTCATCGATTTCCAGTTCAGTACTTAAAATTTTAATATATCATAGTCCTTTGTGTCTTAATTAATAAAAAGAAATTGGGTGGTTTTTGAAGGGTAAGGGTGCTGGTGAAATTACAGGCACATGAGACATTTTACAGGGTGCCTGGCGCAGTGGCAGTGTCCTAGATATTTGCCATTTAAAGCTCTGATTGGCGCTTCTACTGCTATGGATAGGCGTGTCGTTTAACACCAAGCGCACATGACCTGTTCGTTCAGTCACTTAATATCATAAAAGAAATTGGGAATATAGTAATATAAAAATTCAAACTTAAGAAATTCCAATATGAAAAATAAAGTGAAGAGATTGAATTGGAACGAATTTTTTAAATGACTTTTATTTGTAAAATTTACATGAATTACAAAATATGTCTAGATGCCTACTTCTTTAATAGGTTATAGTTTTATTAACAAAAATATATAGGAAAAATTAAATGAGTACTGAAATTATGGAGTATTTAAAAGTTACAAAATAATAAATTTGAAAATTAATTACGTTTCCTAGTTAAGGTATTTATTAACGGCTTTCAAGATAAATAGGAGTAATTGTCATCTTTTTCAAAGTTATGTTTGGAGTTCAAAATTTCTCAGTGATTAAACTTCATGATTATCAAAGTAGATTCGAAATAATGTATATATATAATATTTATTTTTAAACTCCATCTATGATTTTCAAGATACCATTAAAAAACAATGTGTTGAGCAAAGTTCGTTAAATGTTTTTTTTTTTAAATTATCAATCGAATAGGTAAAACTAGAATAATGACAAAGACTAAGGTTTAATTTCGATCTTAGATGTTACTTTTCAATGTAATGTTTTCCCACAATAAATTTTTCATAATTTCTCTTATGTAAAGTTAGCAATGATTTTGTTTCATAATAAATTAATAGAACTCGACTCTGAGGTACTTCTACGCTCTTAGAACTATAAATATATAAGGTATATATTCCATGAAATTTAACGTCGATAGCGTAATTCATTGAAATTGAGATACATTTCACTAACGTAGATTCAAAATAATTATCTTTCTCTCGTTGATGTCTTTTGTAAGAAACTTTTCGTTTAGAATTTAATTTTGGCTTCATACCCTCGTTAGTTGATTCAAAATAAAAATATAAACAACTGGTTTATAATAAACATTGCTGATAAGTCTGTGCAATAGTTTAGACATTAGTCGTTTTCAACAATTTGAAAAATGCAGATGTCGTAGATAGTATAATCCGATGATTCATTGCACAGCCATGCAGATAAGGACACTGCTCTGACAAATTACTCAAATTCACGCAACTGTTGAACTGTAGTGGTTCATGAACCTCGGGGATACACTAGTGGGATTTGGAACAAAACAGCATATACAATTTTTAACGCGTCGTTTATTGATAACTTCATTTTTTTCTTCAATATACTTTTGTGTCCACTGACTATATAACACTCACTGTACATTTTCGTATTACAATATTTAGTCTTTCGAGGCTTTATTATAACTTTTCGTTTCCATATAACAAATATTTTGTACAACGCACGACGTGTACGCGAGTGCCGTCGTGGCACGACTTATCGCTATCTACCTACGCTTTATCGCTAACTCCAACCGTCTTCAACTCTAGCCTTTAACACTATATTTACAAATTGTTCAAATTTTTTTGGTATTCAAATTACCGCAGACACTCCATCACCTTCCACATAAACCTCACAACGCAACTTGCATACATCCGCACGACACAACTTAGAATATTTAACTTAAACCATGAAAAAATACAATAAATGTAATATAATACAGAAAAGTCATCAACAACATTTAATTGAACTTTCGGCCGTCGGCAAAGCGCCGAGAACTCGCTAAGTCAACAGTTCGCAACACTAACAGCGGCATGGGCACGGGCCCGGACTTTACAAAACAAATAAATGGACATACCTAGAAGTATGTATGGCCGAGGATAACGATCACTGTCCTAGTGCGACAACCGATTCGCAACAAAGTCACTATGGGCTGGCAGCGGGCGCAGGCCGCCGGCGCCGTGCGCGGCGACGCGACCCGCTCATAGCGGCGGGATGTCGATGTCGCACGCGAAAGGCGATTCTCAGATGAGTGGCATGGCGCGCTCGTTGGCCGCCGCGTACCGCTGCTCATCAGGCACATGGTACATATTGATGATGTGGCTCAGGTCCTGCTGTCCGTACTCGCGCTTCATCGCCAGCTGTTCGTGCGCTTGCGCGTGCGGCACATATTCGCGCTTTAGCTGCGCTGGTGGCTCGTGGGGCACATACTCGCGTTTCATGCCTGGTGGTCCCGGTGACACGGGTTCCGACTTCGCGGAGGAGCCGCTGGGCGAATGAGAAGCGCACGAAGGCGGCAGGCCGTAACCGCCTGGAGAACCAGGACCGATTCCATAAGCGGAAGGTGAAGGCGGCTGCGGTAGGTACGGCGAGCCTTGTCCTCCACCGCCATAGTAACCACCACCGTATCCAGCTTGTTGCATCTGCGACATATCGTAGCGCGGGTAACCATATGCTTGCTGCTGGTATGCGCTGGGGTCGGGCATCATGTAACCGTTGGGCATGTAACCGTTTGGTGTCATCTGGTATACGTCCCGTGGTTGTTGAGAGGACGGCGCTGCTGTGCGTTGCGCATCCGACGCTCCCAATAATGCACCACCACCAAGAGGGTACTTCTCCTGTTTTTTAGCGAGAGTCTTTGTTTTCCTCCTGGGTCTGTATTTGTAGTCTGGATGTTCCTTCATATGAACGGCGCGAAGTCTCTTCGCTTCGTCGATGAACGGTCGCTTTTCAGATTCTGAGAGGTCTTTCCACTGTGCACCAAGACGTTTAGAGATTTCCGAGTTGTGCATCTTCGGGTTATCTGAGGCCATCTTCCTGCGCTGCCCTCGCGACCACACCATAAATGCGTTCATCGGACGCTTCACTCGCTCCGAATTAGAGTTCTTGCTGGTGTTGTTGTTGTTATTATTGTTTGGCGGCTGATGGTGTTGCTGCTGAGGCTGCGCATGATGCTGCGGCAACGGTTGGTGATGCTGATGCTGCAGCGGCTGGTGTTGTGATAGCGGCTGCTGCTGAGGCAGCGCCATCATGCCACCAAGCGCGCCCAGCGAGCCGTAGCCATGCTGGAGCGCGTGGTGCGGCGGCACCGTGGCGTGCAGGCTACCGCCTTTGAGATCCGTCTCCATCGTCAACATGTCGTCTTCCTGCGGCGCGTACAGCTTGCCGAACTTCGTTCACCGTACACAACAAGAGAACTGTCGGTCGCTCACATGGACTCGCGGCTGCGCGCGTCGGATTAACGTCTCGCAGTACCGTACGGCGCGGAGGCTACGTGCGTTGTGAGGAGGCTCGTTCGCCGGGCGCGGCGACTGCGGACGCTCCCCGCTCAGCTCCCCCGGGGGCATGCCCGCCCCGGGCCTCCACCAATGGGGCCGCCGCGTGCGGCTCCGCCCCGCCCGCGCTCTCCCACCCGCCGCGGCCTGCATTTTTAATCGCGTGGCAAGCGAGGCGAGCGTACGCTTCGCCGCCGCCTCATGCAAATCTCAATTTTGTTTGCCGACGGTACTTGCACCTTAGTTCACCTAGGTTATTGCTTATGTTGTAGGCAAACAATGTATGCTCCGAGTTCTAACACAATACCCACCCCAATTTTCAATAACTCAGTGCGTAGTCTCATTTTTAATCAGGCTTTCTTAGGTCATCTACCTTTCAAAGATATCGAGGCAGTTATTTGTGGAAAGTTTCTTTTCTAGTCGTTTGTAGACGAGAGAACGTGCAGAGCATTAATAATGTATCGTAGCCATATGCAAGGTACAAGACATGTTGAAGTTACGTACGTAGTCGGCCATCTTCAGTTTGTTCAGCTGTTTGCAGGAAGTTCAAGGCCCCTGCGACAATGTATTGTTGGCAGCGCTCAAAAGAAAGAACCGCTAACACAATGATTCGAATAACACAGTTAATGATCATTCTCTTTCGCACCTCTTTGTTGGTGCCTGTTGCAATTGACTTCATATATTCAAGTATCTAACTGTATTACAATTTACGGTATTTGAATGTCTATTATGAGGCGTTAAATAAGAAGCATTTAACAATACAGTGGCTCTGTTTACAACATACAAATATTAAAAGGGAGAGGAGACTACTAAACCTATTGTTTCGGTTTCATAAAATGATTTTGGCGGACTGCTTACGTATTTCTGTAAGATCTTTCATGTCGTTATATTCGTAACTAGTGTTTTCCTTGATTTTTTATTATGATTTGCTTATGTCTTCATGCATAGGTAGTACCTAAATGTACTATTTTGCGTGAATCGAAGTGATAAACATTATTGATAATTATTATGATAATTATCTTTATAAATATTTTTTGATATTTATAAAATTTATTGAAATTGTAAAATGAAATATAGTGTCATTTCTTTGTATCAGAGACATATCTAAACGTGTCAAAAATCAAAAAAACAAAGCTATGAACCAGTGTGGACGATTATCGGATATATATTTGACAATTATTAAAGAAAATAAATATGTTGATAATTTTTAACCCTACTATTTTGAATGTCGTTGATCCATCTGTTTCCTACTCAGGTTATTTCTTTAGTCTGAGGTGACTTTTTAGGATTCCATCGTTGTTCTAATCGCCAAGAAAAACACTTCATCATTAAACCAGCGGGTTAATGGGTAACCAAAAGTGTAACGTGTAACGACACGTTGCACATTTGGGCTCCCGTACAAGTTGGATACTGTATACGTTTTCTAAGTATTGTAAACTTTCCTCGAATTTATTAGTAATTTAAGTCGTAAATAAGTACATGTCTCCACAGGGATTCGAACCATCGACTTCTTATTTAAGAAGCAACCGTTCTCCTACTGGGTTAACACCACTTTCAAACATAAAACAAAAATAGTTGTGACGTACAAAAAGTTCACACTTTCTCGACCAAAATGTATTAATATAAAATGTAATAATAATAACAACAGCCACCTTTGAAAATTTGTACCTTTATTAAAGAAGCAACCTGTTTTTCACTACAGGATGTTGTGTAATTTCTCTATTATGAGAATGTTATTCTAGTGACATTCGTAATTCTCCATTGCAAACTCCCTCTTACCTCATATAAATTGTAAACTTCGTACAGATGGTCACACAATAAAACTAGAAGCATATATATTGAAATAAACTTGTTTAACTGACTGTATCTAAGTAACGACACACAGGTATCCGTCATCGGGTAGTTTTCCAAGAAGCTAATTTGGCCTTTAGCGGCAGACTGCCTTTTGTTTCAATTCTTTTAAAACTTTTTTATACACTATTGTAAAAGTATCCCACGAATTTCTATGAAAGGATTTTTGAAATGTATCGTACGCTTTTTGGACTTTCATCTTGTAATAATCGTGGTACTTTTACAATACTTTCGGTGGGAGATGGTTGCGTAAACGAATACAGTACTTTTAATTTTTAATTTTTTTATTTTATTCAATCTCATTAAAATACAATACCTACATATTTTTGCATTCATTGATTTACGATAATAAAGTTGAGATTACACAATACAAATGGTCTTCTGGTCTTTATATCATGCAACAGTCAAACACAACAAGCTACTTATTTATATATAAATAGTCATACATAATAATAATGTACCTATAATATAAAATGAAGTACATATACAATACAGTGATATGTTTCAACATTGGAAAAAAGATATTAATTGGAGTAAAAATGTTCACAAACACGTGTTTCCGTCTAACATCGTAGAAACATTATTAGATTAAAGTATTATACATATGTTAAGAAACTTATTAATAGTGTCGATTATCTTGCTTAAATACAAACCTAAACGTAATTACAATTAACTATCATTTTTAATATATAATTTTTAAATAATTGCTAAATAAGGCAAAAATAACGGAAAAAATGTTCAATTATCATTTTGGCTTTGTACCATTGTTTTCAAAGATTCTGTCAATATTTTGAAATTTAAACAATTTTATATTTGCAATATTTTTATACTCCATGATTTTCAAATAGTTGGAAAAAAACAAAAATCTTGGGATTTATTTTTTC